TTTTTTAATGATTTTGAGTTTGGTTCCACATTGTTCTACCACTCTGTACAGGATCTCCTACAGAGATCCCCCTCTGAGGGATTGACAGTGCTAGCCAGGCACCATCTAGTTCTTCTGGTCTCATAGTCATATAGGCTGAGAGTCACATAGTGTACCACTCACTTGGAGTAATTGTTTCCATGCATCTTTGGTTTTCTTCATTCTTCTTTGTTCTGGATGAGGAGAGACCCATCGTTGCATCTAGGTGGTCACTTGCAAGCTCTTAAGATCCCAGTCACTACTTGCTAAAGTAGGAGGTGGAACAATGTTTTTGTGTAGTATGTTATGCCAATTGAGCTTGATGTCCCCTGCAACTATGGTCCAGAGTCCACAGGTCCAAACACTCACTCCCTCTGGGTAGCTGGCAGTGACCAAGAAGTGACAACAATCTTGTCCCTTGTCAGCTCTACTATATGTCCAGGAATTCTTACACAACATACAAATACATTTGCAGAAACATTCTGACTGCCAATCTTGAGACTGGTGCCTTCACTGCCTGTGAGCCAAGACCCACCATCTTACCTGCCAATCTTGGAATCCTCACTCTCCACCCAGCCTGCTGTATTGCCTATCAGTACCAGGTTCATCAGCTCCTTCAGCTACATGAGTCAGAAGCCTCAAGCCTGAAGACTGACCCAAGAACTTGGGATTTGCCAACCTCTACAACTGCATGAGCCATTTCCTTGAGATAAGCAAAAACAGTGAAGCCTGTTGTTGTTGTTATGTGCTGTACCTATATCTATCTATAGCCATATAAACTCACTACACAGATATATAAATCTATATGTGTGCACTACATAGATATAGAAGGAAGAAGTTGAAGCTGTGCTGAAGGAGCTGTCAGAAAACAAGGCTCCAGGAATTGATGGAATACCCATTGGGATGTTTCAACAAATGGATGCCACACTGGAGACACTCACTCAGCAAAGTCAGGAGATTTAGAAGACAGCTACCTGGCCAACTGACTGGAAGAGACCCATATTCGTACCCATTCCAAAGAAAGGTGATCCCACAGAATGTGGATATTATCAAACAATATCATTAATATCACATGCAAGTAAAATATTACTGAAGATAATTCAAAAATGGTTGCAGAAATATATTAACAGGGAACATCCAGAAATACAAGCTGGATTCAGAAGAGGATATGGAATGAGGGATATGATTGCTGATGTCAGATGAATCTTGGCTGAAAACAAAGAATACAAGAAAGATGTTCACTTCTGTTTTATTGACTATGCAAAAGCATTTGATTGTGTGGATCATAAGAAATTATGGATAATATTGAGAAGACTGGGAATTCCAGAATACTTAATTGTACTCATGAGGAACCTGTACATGGACCCATAGGCTGTCATTTGAGCAGAACAAGGGGATAAAGCATGGTTTAAAATCAGGAAGGGAGTGTGTAAAGGTTGTACCCTTTCATCATATTTATTCACTCTGTATGATGAACAAATAATCTGAGAAGCTGGACTATCTGAAGAAGAATGTGGCATCAGGATTGGATTAACAACCTGTGATAAACAGATGACACAACTTTTCTTGCTGAAAGTGAAGATGACTTGAAGCACTTATAGATGGAGATTTAAAACTAGAGTATTCAGTATGGATTACATCTCAATACAAAGAAAACAAAAATCCTCACAACCATACCAGTAAGCAGCATCATGATAAATGGAGAAAAGACTAATGGGTCAGGGCTTCATATTACTTGGTTCAACAATTAACACCAATGGAAGCAGCAGTCAAGACATCAGAAGACGTATTGCATTGGGCAAATCTGTTGCAAAACACCTCTTTCAAGTGCTGAAGAGCAAAGGTGTCTCCTTGAAGACTAAGGTGTGCCTAACCCAAGCCATGGCATTTTCAATACCCTCACATGCATGTGAGAACTGGGCAATGAATAAGAACAACCGAAGGAAGAAGAGTTGATGTTTTTAAGTTGTGGTGTTGGTGAAGAATACTGAAAGTACTATGGACTGCTAAAAGAACTAACAAATCTGTCCTGGAAGAACTGCAGCTAGAATGCTCCTTGGAAGTGAGAATGGCCAGACGTTGTCTCACCTACTTTGGTCATGTTGTCAGAAGGAACCATTCCCTGGAGAATGATATTATGGAGGGTCAACAAAAAAGGCTGGGAAGGCCCTCAACAAGACGGATTGACACAGTGGCTGCAATGATGGGGTCAGGTATAGCAGGGATTGTGAGGCTCGTACAGGACCAAGCAGTGTTTCATTCTGTTGTACATGGGGTTTCTGAGTCAGAGATGACTTGACAGCACCTAACAACAACAACAACATAGATATAGATATATAAACTTCACTGGTTTTGCTTCTCTAGAGAACCCAGCCTAAGATATTTGGTACTGAGAATGGTTCTAAAGAAACAAAATCATGAGGATGAGTTTTCTAAGTTGCTTCTCAAATCTGACTAGTTTTATAGGCACTGGTGACTCTGCCTTCATTGATAAAGAGGGCACTGCTAATCCATGGTTTGAGTTGGCAATATTAATACACAAAACAGCACTACCAAATAGATACATTGGTGAGAAATGAAGTTCTGGGTGATTCCATATTTGATACTTTTCCACAATTTTCTAAGAATGAGAAGTATAAGGAAGCTGAATAATTGGTCCTTCTCACATTAGACAACATAGTTAAAGAATGAGATGTCCTCAGGATGTTGGAGTAACGGATCAAGTGCCACATAAAAGACTTCAATGTTTCCCCTTATCCCATGAAATAAAGCCTTATTTCTTATAGTAATGGAGCTGATATTGCTGAAAACAAAATCCACAGTTTTATTGTATGAGTAGCTGAATTATTTAGTGGCTAAAAGCACTTGACTGCTATCCAGAGGGCTGGCGGTTCAAACCCACCAGCCACTCCTCGGAAGGAAGGTTGGGCAATCCTACTTCCGTAGTGATACTGCCTCGGAAACCCAAGGAGGGGTCGCTATGAGTCGGGGCCGACTCGACGGCACATAACAACAACAACAACAAAGCTGAATTATAACACCACTTGAATCCCCAACCTCAAATAGTGTCTGAAGTTAAAGTGAGGGCATTGATTGTGAAGAAATGAGATCCTGAAACTTAGGACTAATGGACAGGTAATCAGGAAGGTAGGGACACTGAACCAGTAAGTTCACTAAATCATTCCTGCCAGGAGAACAACCTCTCTTAACCTGCATCTGATGAAACTAACCTAGCTGTGCCTGATAAGTCAGTGTCTGAGATATAACCTGGGGTATTATCTCAAACAGTACCTGAGGCACATGCCTTACAAGGAATCACACCTACCACCCAACTTTGCTTCTAGACCTATAACTACACTTAAGTTCCAGTGAGCCCCAAAAGGTGAAGTAAAAGTGTGTTTCAGGAAGAGGTATGTGACACTTCAAAACAACTGCTTGATTTTTCTAATATGTACAAACAGAAACCTAGAGAATACATGTGTGAATGGCTACGGAGGGTGTGGGATAATGGTGCAAGGAATATAAATTTGGATCAGTCTGAGTTTATTGATCTGGG